GAGCAGAAACCTATTTACTTTTTTGTTGGCCATAAAAAAGTGTAGAGAGAAAGGTGGGTGGGATGAGGATGATGGGTCGAGGATCAGCGCCGAATGGGCTGTCCCATTGCCAGACACACACAGTTCTGAATGCCAGACTCCGTCTAAGGCCATGCCCGACTGCCACTTGCATTCCGACCGGTACTGGTTCGTGCTCAAATCGTAAAATTCTAAGCAACTCACATAAATTTCGTCTGTGGAGATACATTTTTGCATGCGACGGTGCGGTTGCGGTGGGTTTCAAGGGGGATATGTACATGCATTTTTGAGTTTTTGCTGAATTTTTATAACCCAGCCTGCGGCGATGGTATTAATTAGTGCAACAGGCCATAAAAACGCTCGCGAAATTCTACAACACACCACTAACCTCACACAACGAGACGCCGCGTGCGCAGTACTTTTTCTGCCGCAAGTGCAACATAATTAATAGCCGCATAATTACGATCTAGACAGGGTCCCGTCTGGCCCGACACATATACCATTTGTAAGTGGCATGATTGAACAATGATTTGCGATCGTTTGCCATGGGTCTCGGTGACGAGGTCAGTTTTTAGTAGCCTCTTATACCATAAGGAACTGTTGTGTTTTATTGAAAAAAATTAACTATGCAACGACATAAATCAATAAAGGTTATGAGGATCATAAACAGACAAACAAGTTAATATGTTTTGAGATGGAAACTTTAAGATTTTCTTAAGGAAAGAATCTAACTTAAAAAGTCTATAGAGAGTTCTTTAAAATCTGGTGATTTAATGGATTATACTGTTTCTATAGCCATAACCAATAATTACTTAAGCCTTTCATTAATAGTTGCGTCAAAAAATTATCTAATAACTCAACTCAAGCCCTTCACAAATTATATAAATGCAATTAAAGTAAAGAATAAATAAAGCATTACATCGCACTTGGTAAGGGCCAGAATGTTGAGTAATGTCGTTACACTATCGAGACACTTGTAGGAAAACTCGTAACCTACTGAGCCATAAAACCATTTAACTAATATTTCGAAAAACAAACTAATGTCACGAAAAACGGGGGCGTGGCTATTGCTTCCGTGTCGCCTTTTGCTTTTTATCAGCAAGAACCGAGGGCAACAAATCTAAAAAAAAAAAAATAAATAAAATAAAAAGTAAATACATAAAAAAAAGGGGGCGTGTTCCGCCCGGCAAGGCAAATGAATACTACGCAGTACGCCGGCATATATAGTAAGTGTTGTGGGTCCAAACCGACTGAGAGTTGCATGCAAATAATAGAAATAAATTCGCCGAATAGCTCGGCATGGTCTGCTGAAAGCGCTACTACAGTGGCAAGGAGATACGATAGGAGGGGGACTACGGCTGGGCAAGGTTAATGCTTATTTATAAACGAATATTATGTGCACGGCAATCTTAGAGTGCTGATCTCGTTCTGGTTCTTGTTCTCGTTCTCGTTTTCGATCTTTGAGTGCCATTTGGATTTTTTGATTTTTGGCTGATTTTGATTATTTCCAGTATTTGCACGTACCATTTCTCAAAAGAAAAAAAAAACTTGTATCGCTTTGATTTTATTAGGTTTTATAGTGTTTTGATGTTATTGTTTTGTTTTACATTTAAATGCACTTTACACCAAATAAAATGCGCCGCAAAAAAACAAAAAATAAAACCCCAACACAGGCCAACAATGCGTATACTTAATGCGCGTTTAACAGCCATGAAGAAAAAAAGCAAGAAAAAAAATATGAAAAAAAATAAAATCGGAAAAAAGCCATTACAAATATCATAGAGAGAGACAGATAGTGTGGGATAGACAGAGATAGAGGGAGTAAGTGCATGGTCAAGTGTTAAAGATTGCGCAATTGGTGGCTCTGTATGGGTATTTTTATAGAATTGCTCGGCTATCGTTAATGAATGCCGTTATTTTCCGCAGTTTATTGCATATTTATATTGTTTCTAGTTATTTGAAAAGCTGACACTTTGCCCCGCACCCGTCATAGCCCTATTTAGTGGCCACTTGCACTTGATCAACTGTGTGAGTAATGCGCATTAAACTGAGGGTCTCTTCAGGCACTTCCAGGTACTGGCCCACTGCGGACAAGGCCATTACTGTCTTGATAAGGCCATTGATAAGGCCAAAGTTAACTAAGGTTAAACAGGGTCTAAATGATTTGGCCATCAACTGCATTGCTAACAATATTACACAATATTGCACAATGTGTTATCATTAGATTACAAGCAATTGAGATAGGAAGTGCCAAAAATAAAGTTACATTTGAAAGCAAAATAAATATTACAAAATGGTAAGAAAATCATGAGAGTCCTGGAATAGGAATTATTAATAATATAAACCTTTTTCTCTCTAAAAATATATTCAAAATTGTATCTGATAAAGACATTTACCATTAAACATAGAAACAAAATCTAAAAAATGATACACAAACATTGGAAAACCTAGAACTCATGTTCCATCCCAAGGAAAAATCAGGAAATGTCTTGGCCTATCGTAAATAGTGGGTTGCCCACCTAAGAAGCCTTCATAAATTACACAAAAAATGTCCAAACGACGAATGAAAACCACGAAAATGTTGAGCCAAAAATATTTATAACACGATGCGGTTCGCTGCCAATTAAAAGAAGCAAAAATATAGAAACAAAATATACAAAAAAAAAAGAAAATATTAAGAAAAAAACTCGCAAACAAAAATAAATTGATAAAAGGAGCAAGCGAAAAAAAATACTTGGCAGCGGTTCAATGGCCAAAACGCGATGTCGCTTGCCTGATGATGAAGACACGAGCCAGAGCCACCGCAGCACCACCACATCCCAGCCAACCACCGGCCTTTCGGGATGAAGCCTTTGCAATGCAGTCGCCGTTTGCCAACGAGTGGCAAAATTTAAAATTCCACAAATGTCATTTGAGTGTTTCGCTCGTTCCGTTCTTTATTATTATGACGACTATTTGAGGAGGAAGCTCTCTGATGGGAAAAATGATGGCAACGAAAGGAAGAGGAGCTCGAGCAGCATAAAATACTCGAGTAGGAGGAAAAAGGAAGCAAGTGTCAGGTAGAATGTGGCATCGTGTTGCATAAATTAGCCAAAAGGCCATAAAACTTTATAAAGGAATGCGCAGAAGAAACTCTTCCTTTCTAAAAATAGTTAATTCCATATTTGTATGCCCAATCTCAGAATTATTAATTGCAATAATACTCAATGTCTTACTCTATTTTTATTTTTTTGCATTCGTGGAAAGCCTCTCCAAGCTTAAATAGCCATTTCTACGACGTGCGAAATAAATTCTTTATCACGATGATTGTTATTTCCATTCGTAATCACAAAAAACCCAACCTACAACTACTTCCGTGAATTCAAACATCAACCGCAAATATAAACAACAGATTAATATAAATACCGCCAATATTAGTTCACAACCCTAAAAAACTATGGCAGTCAAAACAAAAACAGAAATCAAGTGAAATTCATTGGAAGCGCGCTGTCTGCGCAAAATTGAAAAAGTTTCGGGTATCAGGAGTGGCATCGTCTTCGATTTCTTTGTAGCCAGCGCAGCGCATTCTTCAATTTGTTGTTGTAGTCTTTATCATTTTTTTGTGGATTGTCCAGCACCAGGGAGGTGCTAAAGAACAGCGGCCTTTTGCAATGAAATATCAGCAAAAATGATAAAGAAAAACAATCACGTGAATGACGCACTGCACTAACCAAGAAATATGAGTCGATCGAATGATTATAGCTCGGATCACGTATACGTAGCCGATACCATTGAGCGGAAGGAGTTCTAGGGAATGAAATTACCGGAAAATCAGCTATACGTCCACTCAAATTCTAAAATTCACAAGTCCACGAATGGTGCCTGGGACCAAAGCGAACAAAAAAAAACAAAACCCATTTCAAGTAAATGTCAATGAACTCCTGCCAATATTGATAACTTGCAATAAACCCACCGTATAGACTCACAAATACAAAAGGAATACTGTCTATGTAAGCAAATGTTATCAGCCCCCCAAAAAAAATAATAATAACTGCCCCTAAATCGGAGGAGTAAAAATAATAAACAAAAGCCAAGAAAAATAATTAATTGCGAAAACCTTTTGGATGAAAACTCAAGCCATTACTTGATCTTCGATAAGCCTCTTAACGCTGATCATAATTAAGTTGTTAGTTTATATCATGTGGAAATCAAAAAGGGAAAATCTCCGGCTCGTTTAGAGCTAAGTGCAGGGAATTACAGGGGTTCCGAGGAGCCAAAGCGAAACCGGTATCCGAGTATCTGGAATATGAATGAAAATGATTCGTGATATACGCATGTGGGCCTGCACGCGTCTATTTATTTACGTACGATTGGATGTAAACAAAACGAAAAATGATCCGCAGATAAAAGCGCATTAATTGCAAAAAAATTATAAAAAAAATACAAGAAAATAAATGGAAATCCGGCAAAGACTGAAAGACAAAAAGATGGCAAACATTTCGCACATGCACTAAATAAGCTAAACAGCAAATGGTGGGGAAAACAAAAAAAAGCTGTAAGACTGACTGACTGACGATTGCATAATAAAAGTGGGGAAAAAAAGCGACCACAAAAAACAGCGAAACACAACACAAAAAAATATGAAAGCCAAACAACACAAGCTCCACTTTATCTGCTCCACTCGACTCTCACTCCATGCGAACTGACTTGGCCATGAACTTGACCGTTTGCTCGGCTAAATGTGAATGAAATGGCTATTTCAAAGCCAAAGAGCATTGTGGGAAAAATATCAAGTTGAAAAAACTCTCAAAACACTATAAACCACACCATACTGTTGCGTGTACGGGGGTATTAAGTGAAGTAACCAGAGAAGTCAGTAACGAAAGTAAAAACTTTGCAATGTTGGGGCTTCTCAACCTTAATGGTTGTGGGTTTAAGAGTCTATATTTTATTCACTTTTTATATTTTAACTCGAAATTATAACCTAGGAGCAAGGAACCTACCTTCCAGCCAGCACTGCTGTTAGAATCGCCCTTGTCCTTGAAGTATGGCACATTCTGGACCATCCACTCGTAGATCTGACTCAGAGTCAGTCGCTTGTCGGTGGCCGATCCAATGGCATGCGTTATGAGATCCGCATAGGAGAGGTTTCCCCATGCATTGCGACGCGATGAATTCTTCTTGGCTGCATTCGCATTCTGTATAGCCTGTTGTGAGTCTACGAAGGTACAAGACATTAGTCAATACTAAGTTAGTTAGGAAAGGTGGACTAATTAAACTTACCTCCTGCAGTCAACTGCTGATTGCTGGCTTTTGTACTATCCAGTTCGTCGACGGGCTCCACAAAGTTGTCTGGTCTGGGGCAGGGCCATGTGTTCGATCGGGCTCTGGTCTGGGGCTCGAACCCGGCATCTATGGGCAGGTCACCCACACCCACGCCCACCCCCAGCTGGCCCATGGCCAGGCCGTTGTCTGTGTGGGTCAGGGAGGGCCAGTCCTGCGCGAAGCCGTCCATCATGGGGTAGAGTAGGTCGTTGTGCAGTTGCAGCTTTGCAGTGTCTTCAGTAATCCACGCCAGGCCAAGAAATTACCGAAGGACACTCTCAAGCTTCGGGATTATAATATAATCTGAAAAAGTATTTTTAAAAATTTATAGAAATTAGTTTAAGCATCTTTAAGAGACAACTAACATTAAACCAAAAACAGGAAAATATAAACACCTTGAATGGATTTTTCTATACTTCTAATTATGTCAAGTCATCTTATCTCAATGCCAATTATTTTTGATTGTCTTCATGTTTTTGAAAAAATAGAAACAATTTCCAAATGATCTTAAATTGTTCTTTTAATTGACAATTTAATTTTGCCAATGAAGATTAAATCAAACACGATTAGGGGAAAGAATTGCGTGATTCATATCTTAAAGTCAACAAAAAATCAATAACAGTTGTAAATTAAAGAATTTCCGGTCACGTGTTATAGATTTTATGGAACTCCAATTCTAGAAAAATTATTCATTTATTCTAGACTTGATCAATAATATAATTCCGATGATTTATAGAGCCAGCTATTTGTTATTTCCCATTAACAGTACTTTAGAACTTGATACGAAATCTATTGGTTGTAAATTCATATAAATTTTAAAATCGTACGTTTTTAATTCTATAGATAGGTGGAAAAAAAAACAAAGTGTCGGAGAACTCTTAATAGTAAAATAAGAGAGCGTTATCAGTCGGAGTAGGAAACCAGGGCAGATAATGTAGGTTACGATCTTGTTCCCCCCCACATTCTATTTTATTTTTTCAAAGTGCCTTATGGAATGGAAATCAATTAGTTTTAATAAAATCTATAAATTCTTTTACGACTAAATTTAGCACACAGCTGGTGGAATATTCATATATGAAAGGCAATGGAAACGATTTCAATTAGCGCGGCGGCGAGGCGAGTTATCAATTCCCTAATAATTGTTGATAGTACGAGATTGGGCAATCAAAATTCTAAAATAAATACAATGAACAAAATTGACAGATCCCACCAAATGGGACGTTCTGTATTCTGTGCTCTGCGGTCTGTGAGTTAATCTGGAATATAAAAGGTCTATTGACTCCGTCTGGAATGTGGGGAACGACTTGATAAGTCACTGAAGCTCGACGAGCATTGTACGAACTTTGATGGCAATTTCAAGATGCAATTTCAGCCAAAATTAAATCAGCAAAACTTTTTAAAAACTTTGTATTTTACAAGTAAATATTTAAAAGTATTATCTAAAATAGCCTGTTATATTCTAAAATATTTCAACCCACCATAAAGAGAAACCAAATTTAATCAAAGAGAAGTCTCGACTCTTTCTTCCCTCTTCAAAATTGTAAACAACTGAAAAAGTGTGCGTAGCCCGTAACTCAATTAAAATTCACTCACTCACACTCACGAATGAATAAAAAAAATGTGAGTATCTGTGTGTGGAGGCATTTTTATTGAGCTTTTTTTTTAAATGATATATTTTTTGCTTTTTCACCGAGAATTTCTCGCAAAGAACACAAAAAAAGAGATATAGTGGGAAACCGGGGAAAAAAAAGAAGCACCGACATCGACGACGACCACGACATCTAAGAATTACCTTGAGAACACGGAAGTTCATTCAGTCCGCTACCTAAACATTTGCCTACCTGAGAGGAGCATTCCGATCATCACCTCATTATAGTTCAGGCAAAATTCGTTCTCAGAATTTGTTCAGCGGGTAAAACTTTGGAGTGCTTTTATTTTTTTTTCTGGTTTGCATGTGAGTGTGAGTATGTTCGGGTATTTAAATAACGAAATTATTTAGATAAGGTCGCGCGTCGCTGTCTGTCATTACATAATATCATCCTAGCAAAAGGTTTATGGCCGCAAATAATAGCAATGCGAATGGGAATGAGTCGCACTCAAGTGCCCCTGCCGGCAAAATAACTACAAAATGAAAAAAAAAAAAACCCCAGACAGCAAAACAACTAACCGAAACATTTCAACCTGACCTAAGCCACTAGCAACAACAAAAATCAAAGCAAATTTAATGAGGCTGTCAAAAAAGAAACCCAGAAATACACCACCCGGCCTGCAAATGAAGCTACATATGGAACGTATAGTAAGAGTGGAAAGTCCAGAGGTGACCGACTCGGATATTCTCTGTAGGCTTCAAATGTATCTGAAAGGTGTTTTGGAGAGGCCAGCAAAGATACAAAAAAAGTTCATTGATACAACAGCGGTTTAAGAGGCGCTTTCTCTTTGCGTTTTGGAACACGACTTTCTTTATTTTTAAATGATTTTATTGAAAATAATTTGTTAAATATATTTCTTTATTTATTGGTCTGTATATTTCAATCAAGTTGATCCTAAAACCATTTTTAAAACTGTCTATGTATATGGTTATCAATCTCAATATCACTGAGTAACCACCTAGTCGAAAGTGCATTATTCCTAAAAATAGTTCAAAATAGTCCTATAGCTCTCGTTCACTGCCGGCTGCCAACTATTTTGAGTAAATTGTCATAAAAATGTGCAATTTGAATACGGCACTTGGAATATATTCCACTTTTTTACGTTCAAACAAGAGAAATTGCGTCGCAAAGCCGGTTCTGAAATATTAAATAATATGCATTCAAGGCAATAACATTTGATAATATTGAAACGCGTCATTATATGAAAATAGCGAAATACAAAAAATCAAAACAAAAAGTCGCAGAAAAATAGGTGAGCATAGAAAATGTAAACAATAACAGAAGAAATATATAAGTTGGGAGTGGGATTTATTGAATCTATGGCATGATTCGATGCTGCGTCATTAACCATATAGTATGTCAGATCGGTGGGCCATTCAGCAGAGACTGGTTCTGAGCAAACAAATGTATTTTTTTTTATTACATCAGATTAGCCGACAAGTTTATTTCATTTAAGCAGAATTAGGTGACGCATATTTGCGTAGGTGTTTGCCTTTGATCGCCGGGAAATTAAACACAACTTCAAATTGTTGGATTATGCTAATGCCGAGAGAGGCTAGTAATAATATCAGAAAATTCCGCTATTAAGTCGGAACAACGCAAAAAGCTATAGCCTACCCCACACCATGTGTTATCACTGCAAAAAATGTATTGACTGATTCAGAACATCGTGTTTGTTTGCCTCCCAGTTCCTCCAAGTAGGCAGAGTATATAAATCACCTCCCCAAAGACTTTGTGTGGGATACAGAAATTAGCATTGAAAAATCATCTACATTTCGTCTGAAATCTTTTCTTTTTTTCCGAAAATTACACAATATATTGGGGCGTTCGAATACGCAAATAATTCCCACAATATCCCAAGTATTTCAATGTCACGAACAGATCGAAGGCAAAATTTCCATTAGAGAAAATCTTCAGGTGGTCCCCCAGTTTTCGGGGGGCGTGACGAAAATGAAAATGGGACACGCAACAAGTTGAGAAAAATTCTAAAACTAGATATACAAAAAGAAAAACGTGGGAGTCCTCAAATAGCTGCTGATATATGTATTATATTTTTGTATAATAAAGAAAGTGAGATAGAGCGTATGGCTTAACGAAAGCGAGTGCTAAAAACAAAACAAAAAATGTGGAAAAAAACAGATCTTAAAAAATAATAAAAAGCAAAACAAACTAAATAAAGACGGCTAAAAAAAAAGTATTAAATAAAAAAGAGAAACGAAATGGAATTAAGAAAAGAACAAAAGAGCGAACAAAACAAAAATAAACCAACACTTGTTACGTAATTCCTTTCAATAGTTCTCGCCCACAGCACCCCGATTTCTGCTCACATGTTTCATTTAATTCACAGTGCGTATACGTATTATTTTTTCCTCACTTCGCGATGGGGGCATCTCGAGTGGTCGTCGACGACGGGCTATCAGCTAGTGCCGCCCTAAAATAATCCTAGTGCTTGGACTATTAACATTGAGCAGCTGTTCCGGAATCCGGATCGGCTTGGCCTCGCAGATAGAGCGATTAGGCCAGAAGTCCAAGTCGGAGCTTCAGGGGCATACAGAGTGCTATTAAATATCAATGAAATTAGGCCATCTCATAGAATTATAGGCAATAGATACGACAAACTAAAAAGCTCTCAGGATTGCTCAGAAAAAGTATCTGCCAGATGCTCGACCTGAAGTATCCCTTGAAAATCAGCGAAAACCATGTGATTTTTTAGGCTTGAAACTGTGGACCGTTCTGCCCCTTGACTCTCAGGTATACGTGTATGGGCTTATGCTCCAGCACATCTACCCCTTGGTCCCTGTTCCCTGCTGCTGAACCTGCCCCTCACACATGACCGGGTTCAGCAATGTGGAAGTAAAAAAAAAAAGAGATCTACTCCCCGGTACAACCCGTCAAACAGGATTATAAAGCAAAGTAAGTCACCGCAATGCTGAGCCAAAAAAAAAGTTTAAAAAAATCAAAAGAAAAAGAAAAGAAACCCAAAAGAGGCAAAATAAAAAGCAAGACTGACAGCTGGTCGCCGGTGCGGAGATACTACATATAGCCACCAACTGGTATCGACCGATCTGGTCCGGTCTGCCTGCCTAATGAGATGGAGTTCGAGCTGGAGATGGAGATGGGAGATGGAGGAGACGATGGAGGATTGACGATGTCGTCGAGCCCAGTTTCGATTTGAGCCCAGGCCCAAAGTCTTAAGTACCCCGCGACCCATAATGACGATTATCATAATCATGATGATGATGATGATGACGAGGCCGCTTGGAAGTCACTTGTCCGCAAACGAGCATGAGTGCTTTGTCACCCTCCATAAAACCAAACGACCTTTGGTTTGAAAGTGAATTATATTCCAATAATATCAACTTTTTCATGGGCTATCCTACTGATTAAGAGCTATGCGTCTCAGCTAATTAAATCTTGTGATTAAGGGATAATTCTAATGATAACTGCTTAGAAATTATGAGTATGTTATAAAGAATAAATATTAATATTTACTTTTATTTTTCAGACATCACTTTGAGGAATTTCCTTTCTCAGAAAATGTCAATCAAACATTGAACTTTTCTTAATTCTTCATAATTCTCTCCAGACACTTGCTGTCGCTTTTTTTTAGCAACTGCGTTCTTATCAAACATTTGTGAGATAATAAAAAGATAAAGAGCTGTGGCAGAAGCACTGCACATCATTTTTATGCACTACCCTCAGTATATTGTCGGAAGCATATAGCCAGTGTTGCCATGTGGACTTGTGCCACTCGCTTCCTATCGTATTGTGGTCGCGAGTCTGGCGGACAGCTTATCGTAGCCCCACCTCCCTCTCTGTAACCCATTGACAATGCCAAACATAAACCTTGGTCAACAAATGTTAACAGTGACACTTTCAGTAAGCTTTTTTTGTTTTTAAGATTGATTTTTGTGTAATATTGGTATGGAAATAGAAACTAAGTAAAATCTTTCAAAATTCTAGGTGTCTTTTATAAAGAATCTAAGAATAGAGGTGGGATAGAAATAAATAGTAATATTTAATAGAAAAATTAGAACCTAAGTAGAATCATTAAAAGGTATGATACCCGGTACTCTAGGTGTCTTCTCTAAGAACTATATAAACTCGAAGGATAACTTGATAATATTTATATTGATGTAAAAAATATATTTCTGGTAAGAGAATTGGAGTCTAAACGATTAAAATACCACACTCGCAGCTTTCATCTTAAATTACGATTAAGAAAATCAACTAATATGACAAGTGGTCAAGCTAGTTTTGATCTTTTTTTCTAAAACTAAGCTCTGGAAAATGCCTAGTCCGTCTGCTTTGCATGATTTTCTCATTAGTTTCCATTAGAAAATCCACGGGTAACGTCACTTTGGCAAGTGCCAGAGCGAAACGCCACTCATTTTTTGCATTTTGCATTCTGGTTTCTACTGCGCTGTTAATATTTAATAATTTATTAAGTCAATTATCGCGGAAGCTTATTCAAATAAAAGCTTATTGGAAGTGCAGTTATCTGACGATCCCCGCCACTTGCCGCCTCCTTCCAGCACTGCTCCTCCCAGTTGTGAAAGAGGCCCCACTGAAAGTGCCGGCACGTGGGCTTGGGAGAGAAACACGCGCTATTAGAGAGACAAATGAAACACAGAGAGTGGGGAAATACTGAATAAGGCAATGGGCAATGCATAGTTCAGAGTCAGCCAGGAATGCAGCAATGCAAATGCAAATGAAGCGCAGAGGCAGGGCTCGGCAAAAGCCCCGAGCCCCCAAAATGCCCCAGTGCAATGTTTATAGAATTTATTACAATAATTAAAGAGCAGGCTATTCGATTCAGCTTGAATCGAATCGATTTGTTTCGCAAATCGAAGGAAAATGTCAGGCCCCCTTCTCATCCAAACAGTTGAAGTCCCAATGATCTTCTATTGACAACTGACGCATGGAATATTTGATGCGATCATAGGATTTATTCATTGAAAATGAGAAATCTATCAAATACATATATAGAATATCTGAGTTATACTTTTTTATCTCAAAGATCTTCCCGAACAAACCAAAATTTAGCCAGTCATGCTTATAATTCTAAAATCTCTTTATCAAACACCTTTCCATCATAATTAGGAAAGCCTTTAATCCTCGGCCGTGTTTCAACCCATTTCTCCGGACCAATTACAGGGTTTTGGACAAACTTTTGCACACTTTTCTTGTTATCAACTGGCACGTTCCAGCGATGTGGCCAACAAACACTTAAGATATGATAAAACACACACACACACACATATATGTACACACTTTTGGCCATCAGCTGCTGTACCTTGGCACATTGCGGCTAGATAAAGCCCTTATCTCTCTAGCTCAAAAAACAAGCAAAAAGCAACCAAGGGGCGAAGCAACCCATTTATTAAAATAAAACCTAATCTCGTTTCAATGTCAATATTCGTGTCGAAAAAAGTAAATTTGAAAATTATTTTAAATCTTTATATAAACTGCTAACAAACTAGCCACAAAATCGGCCTTCATGGATCCAAAATATACAACAAAAATATTGTATTGGGAGCCGAAACCGAAAAGAAATGAACGGCCGGCCATACACTCTCGGGCTGGAGCTCGGGCTTTTCTGCTATCAGTGTGGCGCTGGATTCTATATTTAGAGCCATTATCAGTAGTGCTCTAATTAAGATCTCCCAGCCCACTCTCGAATAAAGTAACACACCAAAGCCAAAACGGACTCGTCTACTAATCAAGGCGCACACGAACCCAAAGATCATCTATTGGTTTTGGTCGAGCACCCAGAACGTGACCGCATTTTATATGTTTTGATTATTCCCTCGATTTTGATATTGAAAGTGAAATTTTGGCATCATTAAAATAATGATAATGGTGACAAATATTTGTATAGATTACTAAGCATTATATTAGAATTTTTAGAGGTTATTTGATTTTTTTTTGATTGAGAAGTGGTTAAACTTTTAGTGTTATTCATAGAAACTTAAATTTTTAAATACTTCTGATTGGGGTTTCCAAATTATTTGGAAAAGGTCTATTTTAGTTTAAAAACGTTTTGAATATTGACAGAAAAATGAGGAAGCTCCCCAAAATTGTCAAGAGACTGTGTCAAACCTATTGGGATTTCCCATTCTAAGTTTCTGAATTATGGAAAAACCACTTCGGAAATAATCGTTTCCATTATAACTCTAGGTTTATTTCGAAAACTTCAATCTTTGGCAATAAAGCAGTTGCAAAAATATTGGTAGAAAATATTAAATAAGAACTGGAGAACTGTCAGTTCATAAAGAACCCAACTTACATAGATTTTCAATCACTCCGAATTTTTAAATTTCAAAAGCACAATTTTAAAAATAATCTTTGCCAATAATAACCTTGAAACTGATCGAGTTTGATTTGATTTTAGAATTTCTAGAGAAGCTTTAAAAGTAGATGGCATTTATCGAATACAAATTGCCATTTGTCGATTGAATTTATGCTATTTTTTTTAGTTATTTACCCGCCAAAAGTTTCCAATGGGGAATCGCTCCTTGTGTTGACTGCGATAATAATTGTTTATTCTGCCGGTTGATTTTTGTAGATCGCCTGTTCTGGTTGAAGTTGTTGTTGTTAATTGGCACTGTTTTACTTTTTTTTCCTTGTTATTTTGCACTTTTTATGGATTTGTTTGTTTTATAGCGAATTTGTGTTGTTGTTTTGAGCAAAACTTGTGCGGGCTGGGTTTTTCTTTGATTTTTAGTGAAAAATATATTTTTTAGATTTCAGATTTCGGCTGGCATAATTTTTTGCTCACACACACACTCACTTTCAGCTGGGGATTACAAGATTTTTGTTGTTGTTTTTCTCTTTATTTTTTTTTTTATTATGGGCGGCGGTTTTTGCTTAAGCTATAGACAAATTTTAATAAAAGAGCAGGCAAATTAGAACTCATATAATATAACAACAATAATAATAAACACCAAAGCAAACACAATAAAAAAGCACAACAAATAAGAGAAGCACACACACGCGGTCGAAGAGAGAGCGAAAAAGTGGGGGCCTATGTTTGATGGTGTGTGTCTGTGTGGGCACGAAGAGAGTAAACGCGATCACGTCACGTCATCAATTCATGCCAATTGGACGCACACACTTAATTGGAATTCGTATGAGAATTCAATGAAAACCGAAACGTTGTTTAAAGTTCAAATGGGGAACAAATTTTAATATAAACACGTTCCAAAAGCTTACTCCAATTCGAAACGAAAATGAACTACGGAAAAAAACAATAACCGAGGGGGCAGCAACAAAACCAACAACGTGACTGAGGCGAAGATCAACCAAGCATCGCTACGTATTTATTTTTTCCCGTTTAAATTTCTTTTTTTTGCGTTTCCCTTATTTAAAAATTTGATTTTTACACCCGAACGCGTTCTTTCTACGCTTTAGTTTTTTTTGAGTTTTTTTTTTTTAAGATTTCCCTCGAACACTACTTCTTTCACATGTTTTGATTTTGCAACTTCTTTCACTTTTTTCACGGTATTTCGAGGAGATTAAGAGAGAGGTGAGAGAGAGTGTGGAAAGAAAGGCAGGTAGGCAAGAGCGCGTAGACGATGGGGTGTTGACGATCTTGTGAAAGATTCTGCCTCTTTTCTGCGAACGGTGTGTGTGAAAATGCTGGAAAGAAAACGATGAACGACCTCGTGGCTTTTGACCGCAAGCGAAAAAACACGGACTACTACTTCTTACTGCTTTCTAGTTGGATGCGAACTGACAACTGATTCGCTGGGCGTTCGTAAAGTGGCGCAAAAAGGCGGTCTGCTAGCCACTGAGCTGGTGTGCGTGAGTGTGAGTATCTGTGTGAGTACACGAAGCGGTCGGCCTGTCTCTGAGCTGGTGTGTGTGTGTGTGAGTACACGAAGCGGCCCCACCACCACAGCAAGCTTTGCTCTGAGAATGCGTTCCACTTGTGCTCCACACCCAAGCAATGAAATAAAAAAAACCAGCCCCAACTTTTGCCGCTCACTTCACGTTTTTCTTTTTTTTTTGGATTTATTTTTTTTTTTGTGCTCTCACACACAAACATTTACAGTTTGGGTCAAAATTTTAGGAGGATCTCTTCAGAGCTTTCCGAAGAATTTGTATCTCAACTCAACACTTGTTAGGCAACAAATATTTTTTTTAAACTATAGTACTATTAATTAGTTTTAATGCTATTGTATGACTATTTTTTCGTCCTCATGTGTGCCCCCTCAATATCAATAAATAAAGACCCATAGTTTACCTATTTTATACATTTGGAATTTAAATTGTTTCTTTTTTTTACGTTTGGATGGCGCTGCTTTGGACTCGAAATTCTCGTCCGGCTGCGAGGCGGATTGGCCGCCAAGGGGCCAAAGGTGGCGGGCGGCGGGTTGCTTCGGCGGTCGGCATAAGCTGATAAGGAATGTTATCTCACGATTGCTCCTCTCCATAGCTCTCTCTCCACCTCACTCCGAAGAGGGACCCTCTTTCGAACGTTCTCTCTCTTTGATACATTCCGTTCATTGTCTCGTGATGTGATGGAAAATTTCCCGAAATTGCATTCTACTGATAATGCCAGCACTGCACTTGATATTTGTGCACTCTTCTCGATATGAATATGAATTTTATTCAAAATATGCCACGGCATCTACATACTCACACAAATAGGTATGTGTGTGCGTAAGCTTTTTGGGAACATGTATTTTATTACCAAAGTTTCCCCTCCCCCACAGACCAAAAAAAAAAAAATATTTATGAAAAAAATTGTTCCCCTCCCGCGGTACCAGTTTCTGTTTTCGCCTAGACCTGATATCTGTATATATGCTTTCGAACTGGTGTTTGTGAGTATCGGTGTTTTTTTAATGTGCCTGCCACATAAATTCCGCAACATTACACGGCTAATGAAGTCTAGACGCTGAGGCCGGGCTACGAACGGCTCATTTTATGGATCGTCCAAACTAAACTCTCTCGTCGCGATGAGAATCGGATATTTCTGAAGGCGGATTAGAAGCGGTCGAAAAATGGGTTGGGTTTTTGATCATTCCAACAGATACAGATACAGGAACTAGCACTGGGAACTCTTGAATCTAACCCGAAGGAGATCTAAAAGAACTTTGTCCATCTCTAAAGGAATTAGAAACATTTTATAATATTTATTCAACATTTCAGGTAGTCCAACTGTCTCCAAAGTACATCGAAAAGATAAAAGACTAAGTCTTTTATAATCTAAAGGATTTTCAGATGCGAAAACAACAATAAGATAAGCTATAGTTATATTTTACAATGTTATGAAGTTGGCTTAAGTTGATAAGCAAAATCTTGGTATAGGTCTTGGTCTACCTTGGTCTATTCTGGACCAAAACAAAGTTAGAGCATCGCACCATGGAAGTAATTCCCTAATTCGATAAATCAATTTGAGCTTATTAGAGCCGCTCAGTGACCAGAGACTGAACAAGCATCGACGCCCACTCCCCAAGAAATTCCATTAACATTACACAAACGTTTCAACTATCACCAGTCGATACTTGACCATAATTGCCACCGCCAAAATATTTGAGAAAAAAAAAGTATCTTTTTTTCTTCATAAAGCTTTTCATTTGCGTTGGCGCGTGGCGAATTGCAAACTGTCGTCGCCGTCTCAGACCCCGTCTCGTAATCGCATCCAAATTTGACAAACTGGACACGCAAGGCACTAACTCAGGTTTCAAACTGCGCGCCAAATGTCGGCTGCCAAAATGTGGCCTATACCGAGAAAAACTGGACGTGCTTTACAGAGAACTTAATGGATTTTTTATCTCAATGGATATCATATGGTATATATCTTATTTTAAAAAAACACCTAAGAGTCATTATTTATAAAGTTATTTTCCTTTTTGTTTTTGAACTTTTGGCTGACGAGTGACGAAAACTGATGACACTCCTCTCGTGCTGCTCCTCCAGTGACGTACTCTCGGCTACTCGATACAGATACCCGAGCAGCCAGCGTCGCATTTCGGTCAAGTTTCTGCGCCTGCTCAGCTGGCTTGTGGGCTGTCGGAAAAAAAGTTTCTCAACGGCAAAATCGACGACGTAGTAGAACAAGAAAGTAGGGCTAGTTTGGCGAAAAGCCAAAACATAAACACCCTTTCTTATACAAAATTTAAATGTTACACCAGGCGTATACGTAACTTTGAAAAAATTTAATATTTAAAAAATAATAGTAATTCTACTAAAATGTTATAATTAAGACCTCTAATATAACTTGATTTTAATAATATTTTATTATAGAAGTTGTAGTATTCCTATAGATAGAGATCACGTATCCGCCTAGTTATCCATATTACGTATTCGACTAGTTGAACGTAAGAAAAAGTGGTTAGAAATTTTTAGAATTCATTACTAATTCAATTAGTAAGATCCTTAGAATATGTTTTAACCTAATTTCTTTGTAGTATTCATAACGTGCGTATGTTTAAAAAATCACGTATACGACTATATTTCGTTGAATATTTATTACAGATAATATCTATAATTAGAATCTTAGTAATATTAGAAACCATAATTACACACAATGTATATTGTTTTATAGAATGAATATTTCCATGCTCATACTTTTTAAACTTTTGATATCTTTAATCTTAAGACATTACGTATTCGACTGGTTGTACAAAATCTATAGTTAATAAATTAAAAATTTTATAAATTACTCTGCCTAATCGGAAATGATTTATACCCTTATTGAGAGCATTTAAAATTACCACGGCTTCGGCACAATTGACATTAGATGATGGAGCCGAGACGATCCGATCCGATCCGAGGCGAAGGCAAGCGATCCGAATCCGCGTCGGAATCGCGAGTGTGGCTCCACTCTGCTCTATGCTTGGCGCTTGGCCTTCAAAAAATTATAATTTCTGTTTTAATGTCTCCTCAGAGTAATCGAGTGAGTGTGAGTGTGTGTGTGGCAGTGGCCTGACTCTCACACATGGAACTCCAGTTGGCCTACCCGGTGTGTGTTTGTTTACCAGCCCAACTGGGCTGGAGTGTGAGTGTTCATATGGAAATTTGAATATTGTTAGTAACAATTTGTTAACTCAACAATTTATAGAGCAGACATCAGGCCAGCCAAGCCGAGTGTGAGGCCGAGAAAGAGGAATGTTCGAAGCACGATTGTTTTTCTAACTAGTTTGCAATGAATTTCAGATTCCTAATTGATTTGGTTCGATATAATCATATATAAAAGGGTAAGAGTTATAGGCCATGAGTATAGGCCTCTATATTTTCGAAAACACTCTTTTAAATTTTATTAGTGAGCCCTAACCTTTCCATATCGTATTTCCATTGAACCATCTCGAAAGGTGACTTAATACTGGAAACTTCCCAATAATCGCTTGATCAACTGTAGCTGAAACGGTATTTTGAGTGGAAACAAGATTTTGTGACGTTGCTTCGGCTGCTCAAGTCGAATGTTGATGAGCGCTATCAAGACTTAAAAAAATAAACTTCAACATGTTGGGGCTGATATGTGAATGTATGGTTCATATATGTATGAGCATGTGGTTGTCACAAGCGAGCCCCCCTAAAGTGGCCACATGGAATGCTCAGGGCAGAGGCGTAGCCAGGAAGTGAATGCAACGGGGTCACATCGCAAATAAACGGCCAAATTATGAAAATGAGTTTCTCAAATAAAAACTATAGATATCAAAGCTTAAACAAAGC